GCAGATATTTGGAAGAATTTCAGAGAAATTTTAGAGGAATGCTTGAAGAACGAGCGCGGTTCCTTATAGATTAGCTGCGGTGCAGTGGCCGCATTCTCGCGGACTTTCCGCGAGAATATGCAAAATTTTTGAGGGCCGCACGGTCTTTTTTGGAGCACCGCGCAGCCCCCAGGTACTTTCCGCTGAGAAAAAGTAGCTCAAACTTGAGTAATTAAACCATCGATGGCACCTCTGCCATGTAGAGTCTCACCTTTGCTCGACGTATGCCCAAAACTGCTTAGAAACCGTCAGAGCGCCAGCTGAAAATTTGACCAGCGCTCGCTGAAAGAGACTGTTTGACGAGCGCCTGCAGAAAATTCTGTGTTGCTTCCCGCTGGCAAAACATCAAACAATAACTCAGATAATCGCCGGGGGCAGGCGGCCATGCGAATTTTGAGCAAACGCGCACCGGAAAAATAGTTCGTTGATTTTTTGCCGCCTGCTTGCAGAAATTTGGAAGAAAATTGGCGAAATTAAAGACGAATGCTTGAAGAACAATCGCGGTTTCTTTATGGATTAGCTGCGGCGCAGTGGCCGCATTCTCGCGGACTTTCCGCGAGAATTTGCAAAATTTTCGAGGGCCGCACGGTCCTTTGTGGAGGACCGCGCAACCCCCAAGTACTTTCCGCTGGGAGAAAGTACCTCAAACTTGAGTAATTAAACCAACGGTGACACTTCTGCCACACAGAGTCTTACCTGCGCTCGACGTACGCCCGAAAATGCCTAAAAAGAGTCCGAGCGCTTGCTAAAAGTTTGGCCAGCGCTCGCTGAAAGAAATTATTTGCCCGAGCGCTTGCAAGAAATGCTGTATTGCTGCCCGCTGGCAGAATATGCGACCGTAAAGGAAGTGCCGCCCGCTGAAGGTTTGGCCACGCCCCCAAAATTCTGCTGACCGCCTGTAGAAAAGCGCGAGTTTGCGGACCGCCTGCCCCCGGCGATTATCTGAGAAAGGAAGTACCGCTCGCTGAAGCTTTGGCCACGCCCCAAAATTCTGCTGACCGCTTGCAGAAAAGCGCGAGTTTGCGGACCGCCTGCCCCCGACGATTATCTGAGAATGCGGCCAATGCGCCGCATCTAATCTATAAGGAAACCGCGATTGTTCTTGAAGCATTCGTCTAAAATTTCGCTAAAATTCTTCAAAATATCTGCAAGCGGACCGCAAGAAATCAGCGAACTATTTTCCCGGTGCCCGCCCGCCCATAAATCGCTTGGCCGCCTGCCCCCGGCGATTATCTCAGTGCAGTGGAAATACAACACAGCACAGTTTCGCCGGTCAGGATGTATTTCTATATTTGCTGCACGTTCGTGTTCTCCGAGAGTGTTCCTTCACAGTGTGCAATCCTTTCTCTCCTTTAGTTTCATCGTTGATCGAAGGTTCATCAAATGATTCATCATTTAGGTTGAATTTGTATGCTATCCCGATTCCACCAAACTTATTTCGCTCCTCCAGTTTGTTCTCATCAACGACTTCACCGCGCTACTTTGCTTATTTTTACTCTCTAGCTTTTTGCAGTATTGCTTCATTAGAACGTGCATTAGATACATGCATGCATGAGACGAAGTGAAAGACCACGGAGTCGTCTTTCGTCGACTGACTGAGTTCTGTAGCTAAAGTCAGCGCCGGAAACCCGACGAACGATGTTTTCTGAGTGAAAGAAACGATGAAACTGCGGTGGCATTGGACATCAATTTTGCGAATGCGTTGCAGTCTAATAGTGTGGAAACCTCTTTCATTGAGTGATTTGTATAAGAGATTTCTAGCAACAGCAGATCATAAAACTAGATAATGCAGTTTGCAGTCAGTTATGATTCAAACTGTGCAAAATCAAAAATCAAGGAAGCACACAACAATCCGAATAAAGAATCATTCGATCAACCTTCGATCAACGATGATGCTAAAAGAGAAAAAGGATTGCACGCTGTTAAGGAACACTTCCGGAGAGAACACGAATGTGCAGCAAATATGAGACATCCATGACCGGCGAACTCGCACTGCCTGAGCATATTTTCACTGCGACTGCAGCGCAGACGCAAGACGCAGCGTGCTGCTGCGTGCCGCGGCAGGCTGCTGCATCCTGCGACGTGCGCCGCAGCCTGCCTCGTCCTGCGACATAGTATGAAGGAACCCTTATGTAGATACCGATACACTATCTACTTTCTGCAAACATTCAAGTGCTGCGATCGCGCGTTCTATACAGGTGGCAAAACTTACGCAGCGACGTGTAAGACCGCGTTGAATTTTTCAGTATAGAAGATTCCAGAGGTCATGGTCTCCTAGGCATTTTGTAGCGCAATTGACAAACTCTTCAGAAGTGCAAAAGTTCCTAAGAAAGTGGTTCCCCAATGTGAAGAACTATGGAAAAGAGGTGCGGAAATCCTGCAACGAGTCTGTTACAACCTAACAAGACAACGATACTCAACGTCGTGGCCCTTTGAGACGTGATTCGGTACTTTTCCGTTATCCGGACCCATTTTTTCAAAAGGCTCTCATGAATGCGCTAATTGGTTTGAGAACAATTTTTTTTGTAGATTCTACGAGGACCGCCTCCCTACCACGTGTCAGAAAAAAAATGACACGTTTTGGTCCAATTTGACATATTTTTTTTTCGAAAGTATTCCCGATGAGGTAAAAGAGCATTTATGGTCACCTAAAAGCTGTTTAACGGTTTCTGTAAGAGAAAAACAATTTAGAATTTATATTAGGACTTTTACTGCTTTTGGGAATGATTCAAAAATGACTCTCTCTCCAAACGTTGTCCGCCATGCGATTTTAGCCAAAAAGGACTGTAAATGATGGCTGAAGTATCTCGCTACTGCTTGTTTCGCCGCTAAAATGATGAGAATCTATCACAATTCTCTATTCTGAGCAAGTCCAGTGCGTTCATTAATAATAGGATAGCGTCATAATCATAATGATAACTATTTTTGAAATTGTTTACTCGGAAATGGGGTCATTATTGATTAAAAAATCGATTGAACTTAAGTCAGTAGGTAAGGCAATACAAACTCTTGGTAAAACTTGCTAAACATGTGTATGACATGTCAAATTTTTTTGACACGTGGCAGAAGGTTGACACTCCTTTCCTGCGAATTTAGGAGCAAATATGGAAAGAAAGGAAAGAAGCAATATCCTTCTTTGAAAAATGGGTCCGGATAACGGAAAAGTACCCGTGATTCATACCATTACACTCGTCTTCGAACGCTGATTCCGAATCTGCCTTCCGTTTCCGCCAATCGTTTCTCTGAAAGAAGTTAAAGGGAATTTTGAGCCAAGTTTGGCTGCTCAAGGGAAAAATGGTCATTGGAACGGCCTCTATCGCGGCCACCTTCTGGTCTAGTGGTTAGTACGATAGCCTTTTAAGTTGATGCAGGTGTAGGTTCAAATCCTTTTGTGTTTTTACTTTTGCATCGCCTCAATTAAGTTTGTTCGAGAAAATTTACTTGAACCATGCTCAATGGATACAATTTAGCGCAAATAGTAATCATTTAATTTGTAATCAATCTTTCAGAGAAGCGATTAGCAGAAACGAAGTCAGATTCGGAATCAGTGTTCCAAGACGATGTAACTATATACAGTTCATCTCAATAGACCACGGACACCGAGTATCGTTTCCTTGTAAGGACACCCTATACCAAATTCAGAACAAATCTGTAACTTCAACTTCCTAAGTGTACTCACGTACAGGGCTTATCAATTGTGGAGTCGGGTGCACCAGCATCTCTGTTCCCGCACGGCCGCTTCGCCCGGACTCTGCATCTCTTTCGTAAACATGCTCTCTCGTCACTTTCCCACTGCGAGCATGGGAAAGGCGGAGCTTCAATCGATTGCAAATGATTAGAGAGCATGTTCGCGAAAGAGGTGCAAAGTCCAGGCTAGGCGGCCGCGCGGGAGCAGAGATGCTGGTGCACCCGACACCGCAGTTGCTACTGTAACTCCTACAACTGTCCTGCCTATGTGCGAATAGAAATGATAATCGCCTCACTAACAGAGGACAGCATGGGCAAAATTTGTGTTGAATCGGCTACTGCATGCGTGTCAACTTCTATAACGGTTCGCAGTGATTAGCCTGTTAGGCGTCGGGCAGAGTTCACGCGATGTGATCGTCGTGATTCAATCGCTACAAGACAAGTGTTACGAGGCCATTGCATGCCGATCTTCTTGTATTTCGGTTGTGATAGTTAGTCACGATTAGTCGCACTGGAGAACTATCACAGTCGAAATGCAAGAAGATCTTCATGCAATGAACTCGTAACACTTGCCTTGTATCTAGCGATTGAATCGCGACGACCAAATCGCTCAACTCTACCCGAGGCCCCACCAAGTTATTCTGTTTGGAGCCTCCAGAGATTACACTTAACCCCCCGAAGGAAAGAGAATTCAGTTTACTGAGAGAAGGTGAACCTTGATTGTATGGTAGCACCTCATACCAACCCCTACGCCGCACAACTACAACCATAGTCACGTAGAATACTCAAAAAATGTCTGCTAACGGGAAGCTTTATGGGTGAGAATAGGTACACAGCCGCTCATTCACTGTGCTGTCCGTTGTCGTTCGCTTCCGTTGGCAGCGATGTCGCTTATGGGCGCTTATCGCGCTCCACGGCAATTAAAGGAACGGCAAAGCGCCGCAGGACCTCATAACTACAGTAATAAAAGTGAATAAACTCTCCGCTTTGATTTCTTTTTGGCCTACACGTAAGATTATAGTTCTCAAAATTTGTGCATTTCTTTACAAAGAGCGTTTCGTTGAGTGGGCAATATTGTGGAGAGAGTTCTCCCTTATGTATTGTATCCGCAATCACTCATTGCGTTTGAGAATAAGTCGTAGCCTTTCTTTCTAAGTCGTTCCGAGTTTATTTTAATAGAAATGCCCTTCTGTGTTTTCTGTATTATTTCGATCACATGAGAGTTTGAATGATTCGTTTTTATCGTTGAAATTTTTGCGGCTAAGCCGCCTTTTATTATGTAATCATTGCTAATATTAAGGGTAGCATGGGTCTTTTCAACAAGCCCATCGTCATCGACGGTAAAGATCACCTCCTCGGACGTCTTGCATCGATCGTCGCGAAGCAGTTGCTTCAAGGCGAGAAAGTTGTCGTCTTGAGATGCGAGGAAATCAACATCTCTGGAAATTTCCACCGATCAAAGCTGAAGTACATGAGCTTCCTTCGCAAGAGATGCAACATCAACCCTGCTCGAGGTGCTTTCCATTATCGATCACCAGGAAAGATCTTCTGGAGGACAGTAAGAGGTGAGCCGTATTGCTTCTGCTTTTTGCTTTTTTACTTACTTCATATTCCTGTGTTTTCCATTTTTCTCGTTTCTGTAATATTTCTATGATTTTTCTGTGGTTCTACTGAACAAGTTGACGTGTTCATCTGCCTGAAACAGGCTTTCAAAGTGGCGGTGGGCAGGAGGCAGCAAAGGCATGCCGCTTTCGCTTGTGAAGTTACCTGAGATGCTTCAGCTTTCTCGCTTCTAATCATTTACTCGCGACCCAAACTGATTGATATGACTCATACCAATGTTTGTGAGTTTCTTCGAGCGTGGCAGAACGCAAGATATAGGTTTTGTGTGCTAGATTCAAAGAAAAAGCAAATGAAATGGGTACTAACAATAACGCTCAAAGACTCAAAAGGGACTGCTCAGAACTTAACCCAGTCACTTCAAACAACATAGATCATCGAACTCGCCTTAAAACGCGGAATACTAGTATATGTTTGCTATCTGCCGAGCAACTATCTGGAAGGAACTATATGGGCATTTAATGTGCGAATTCCTCAAGAATCTCAGACAAAGTTCCAAGAAAAACGTTCCAACAACACTTATCTAGGTTGATGCATGTGCTTCTTCTTTGTAATCGCACTACTTATAATTCATTACGCGCCCGTAACCTCTTTCAACGAGCTGTATTCATTAGGACGCAGACATGTACTCACATTTGAACGCTATCTCCTTCCAGATGGATTTCGGCAGATAATGAACATATGTTTGAAATCAACATTTCGAGGCGAGTACAGTTATATACAGCTTGTTTGGAATGACTGGGTTAGGACTATTCCCTAATTAGCTCCATTCAACATCAAAGGCGGTATTCGGTTTGTTCAGTTAAATTTGTTAGTATCACTTGTTCTACAAATCTTCGGCAGGGTTAGTCATTCTTATGAATCTTTTACATCTCATCGTTCCAAAAGAGAAGGACTTCGAAGACTAATGACAACTAGCACAAGTTCTTCATTTTGCGGCAGAATCATTCCTTTCTATTTCACGAATTGTGAGGAAAGTTGCCTTGATCCGATATATCTTTATGCTGATGCCACACTTCTTACTTGATTCAGAGTGGATTTGTCTTCAATAAGATTTTTGTTTGGTTCTCTTGATTGTAAAAATGAAGAATAGGAGCGAGATTTGAAGCTCCTCAGGCACTTCTAGAAAATGCGGCTAGCCTTTGCTGCCTGCTGCCGACGTCTCCAAAGTCGGTCTTTTTCAAGGTCAGGTAAGAAAGTCTATTAATTTTTATCTGATAAAAAATGCTGCTATTGATAGTTCTACTAATTATGATCACAAATGTCAACGTTTATCACGCTCTAAGACTTTTGCGCCGTTGTATGATGATGTACATCAGAATCAGAAACAGCAGTATATCGTTGTAATTTCGTGTCCTAACTGCAGTCGCTTCCCTTTTTCCATCTAGTTTGCAAGCATGTGCAAATTTTCCTTTCTCTACGAGCACAATTCTCTATATTCAGTCTCTGAAAGGGCTCTTCTGAAAATTGGCCTGTGAATAGTGCTTTATGTGCGACATTTGAATCACATGAAAACCAAGAACTTCCGCCAAACTCACAGTTTTTGCCATGCCGATCATCAGATTTCAATCCCCCTGTTTCAAGATTTGAAGGGTAACGACTCCGCCCTTTGAGCCGCCTCCGCGGGCTGCTGCTTCTCAGTCGACATGCAACAATATCGCGAAATTACCGCTTGTCTGCGGGGCGGCCCAAGATGGCGAGTTCTGCCTCCGATAAACTACGGCAAAACCTCTGTTTTGCATCTCAAGATGAAACGATGGAACGGCGAGTTTGTTCCCACACTATCGGTACGAGTTTCCTGTCAATTATTAACCAGATCAGCCAAAAGCGTTCTGCTTAAGGTTCTTCATGCTTCGCAATTGAAACAGACTTGACCTTTATTCACTTTTCCATAGAGATTCAGAGTGACATAGCATGGATTCGTCTGATCGCTTCCGTCTCATTCATTCATAATTAGAATGGCAAGGTCACGCTAGATCGCTTGAGAGAAACCTCACTCAAAACGCTAGAGTCATCACCGGTCTATAATCTAACATCAAGTGCAAAATAGTGCATGTTTTGCTATGTCATATTCCGAGAACAATGAATGTTCATGAAAAACATCATACGGAATAACTTCTACAGCTCAGCTAACTTACTTGTTGACACAAACCAGCAAAACTTGAAGTGGTGATAAAAGGTATTTTAATCTGGAACATCGTGAACGGCTTTTTTTTGCTCGTTGTGCGCAGGACACTAATAGTTACATTTTTCTGCGAAACGGTAGGCTAATTGCCATTCACCAACCGAAAATCACTGATCTTTGCATTGCAAAATTGGACATTGGAATAGGTACATTCTTTATCACCGAAAGGGCAAACACGTACTCATTGAATTTTTGTTCCCCGTCGCATCTTCCTATAACAGTATGCTTCTCTTTGAAGCAGCATCCATGTTTCTTGTTGGAATTGTTGTTGCATTTTTACGTATGTCTGTACTCGAACTTGCTTTGTCTAAAAGCGTACTTACGTATATTCCTGTAATTTTCTGGAGTTTACGACTAGTAATGGTCTTCGAGTTAGACAAAAGTTGACACACTTGACCCTTTTTTAGATTGACATAAATATATAGAAGAGCCAGCTGAAATTGCTCTCTTAGGCCTCGGACAAAGTTCACGCGATTTGATCGTCGCGATCTTCATTCATTTTCATTTTACATTCAAAATTTTCGCCTTGGAAAAGTATCACTACCGAAATGCAAGCTGATCGGCATACAATGAATAACAGTTGTCTTGTGGCGATTGAATCGCAACGATCAAATCGCGGAACTCTGTCCGAGGCATTAGTCTCATCCATTCATTCCAAGCTTCTATTTTAGGAATGCTTCCCCACAAAACTCCTCATGGCAACTTGGCCTTGAAGAATCTCAGAGTCTACGAAGGTGTCCCTAACACATACGATCGCGTGAAGAAGATGAATGTTCCTATCGCCAACAGGCATCTATGTTTGAGACCTCGACGCAAGTTCTGTTCGGGTGCGTCTTATCATTCGGTCTCTATTGCTTCATTTGATGACAAATCATCGTCCTCATTTTGTCTTCGCTTTCTTTGATATTATTAACATAGATGTTTAGTCGGAAGACTCTCCCATGAGGTCGGGTGGAAGTATCAGGATGTTGTTGCCAAGCTCGAAGCTAAGAGGAAGGTCAAAGGAGCAGCTTATCATGAAAAGAAGAGAAAACTCGAGAAGCTGCACGAACAAGTAAGTACTCTTTTGAGGTTTGTGATCAGTTGTGTACTTATCGGTTTAGACTAACCGGCATAATATGTTGGCTTTGACCTAAAATTTTGGTTTTTTCAATGGCATTGAGATTGCTTGTTTTTGCATTCCTAGTCGATCATTTTAGGCGAAAAAGAATGCTGCCGCAAAGATCGCTCCTTATCAGAAGATTATTGAGAGCTGTGGATACAACTGATTATTGTTATTGTTAATTGCAAACCATAAATGTTTTGTTTGTTAAGTTTTGCTTGAAAGTTATAAGACTCATAAAATCTTTACTCACATCTCATAACTTCGGTAGAGGAATATAAAATCGACACAATAGACTATAAGGCTTCGCCTATCTTGGTGACTTAAAGTTTATAAATGCCCTCTATAATTTTTCTATCTCTTCTATGTGTTGCTCAAGTTTATGTTGGTGCACTTGTTGAGAAATTTGTTTTCAACAGCAGTAACCTAGAGATTGCGTTTGGTTTGCCACATAGTCTTCGAAATGGCACTTCAAGGTGGATCTCTCTGTGTTCTGCCACTCAAAACAGTTTCGTCCATTCACACTAAAAAACACTTGATTTGACTTAATGATGGCTAGTGAGTGTAATTTCTTGCGTAATATCGCTATAAGAAATACAAATGCTTGACTCAGAATGAGAACACATCAGTAGACCAACGAAAATGAAGAGAAATGTACGGAAAATATATCATGAAAGGAGTGGGGTGACAAGTGACCCCACATTATCTCTTCACTAGAAATAACGTTAAGAAAGAAAGGAAACATATTTCGAAACACTGTCATACAAAGTGAGGGCTGTTTAATAACAACATTCATGCACGTAATTTGATACATCAAAAATCATGACAGAGGAAGGATTCGACCCGGATGTGTGAGAGCGTTTGGCGGGCGGCTGAGGAACCGACGCACCGTTGTGTGGGCACTGAGAATGGCCAGCCCGAGCGTGGTGGACGGTTCCTCGCAACTGCCGAGAGCGGTAGTCATGGTCGTAGCAGATCTACCAGTATGAGCAGTAACGGAGTAAATAAGGCGGCGAGAAGCGAACGTTCGACGGACGAGTTACAGCCGTCGGAGTCGCACGCCTGCACACATCCCGTGTAGTGGAATCCTTCGAACTTGAAGTGGCCACAGTGGCTTATCCGCACTATCTCTGAAAGAAAATGTATTATATGTGATCGTGCTCATCTTGTTGTTTGACATGCTGATCGCAAAAAAAAAACATTTCTTCATGGTGAGGTTTTGCGAGCTTACGTTAAATGGATATATGGTATCAGAAGATCTCAGTTGCCACTTTCTGGGTTGGTCATTTGATCAGCTCACGAATATCGTACTCAGTTGTTAAAGGTAGTGATTCGCAAAATCGAACATCTCAAAATTTTCATATGGGATGTTGCTTGCACCCCAAACACGACAATGGAGCAGGTCCGAGAGCACAGCATTCAACCCCTGCCTAGAAAATTGCCCCTAAAGCCCTGCGCGCAAGCCATTTTTACACGCACTCGGACGAGCTCGCGATATCCCTCACGTCGTCAGAGGCGGCATGCCGCAGTGCTATAAACATGAGGGTCTAGAACGACAACGACTCTGCGTCTCTAACCATGACGGGGAGGGTTTCACTCGTCCAAATTCAAAATGAGGGGGCTTGGAAAATGCTGGTTTTCGCCATTTTCGTGCCCTTTTGGAATCAACGCGTCGACTTACCCCTGGTAAGGGAAAACACAAAAGTCGAGGATTTGCCGAGCCACTGCTTTAAAGGCGATGTCCGGGCAGAATGGGGGTTTTGGGATTACTGTGTCATGCGAAAGTGGCCCTCCTCAGACACAACATTGCGCAAGTGCGAGGTTCACAACGCTCGACCTAAAGCGAGAAAAACGGCCGGAAAGTGGAAGAACGTACGCCTTGGGGCGGGGTCCTCCAACCTGTTCGAGTTCCTGCTATGTGGCAGAGTACGAATGCCGCCAAAGTCAGAATCGTAGGGTCCCGCAAGGACTCTGCATCTCAGCCTTGGCGGGGACCGTCGAATTTCAAATTGTAAGGCTTTAAAAAACGCATGTTCTCACCGTTTTCGCGCCTTTTAATGTGGATTTTTGGATTCAGCGTTGCGGATAACCCCCGGTGAGTGGATTTTGCTAGAAACCGAGCTTTTGCCCGGACACTGCCTTCAAAGTGCATCGGTGGTAGAAGTGAGGTTAGCACCCACAATTACCGCCTACTGTGACCCCACTATAAGGCCCTAACGAAGGTGTATGATTGGTCAGCTTGTCGAATAAGCCCTCTACGCAGGTTTATTACAAATAAAAAAATAAGTAAGAAATTATCGAAGCCTCTATTCTGAATGAAGTAGCCAGCTGTCTTGCACGTAAAATAATGGCTGAAGACCAGATATGAAGGGAAACTGACCAGTATCGGCTGTCAGTGTGCCTGAATCGAGGGCACATGTCCGTATTATCATCGTTTTTGAAGAGTTGTCGGCTGTAAGCACAAAAACTAAAGGATAGGACGAAGTAGAACAAGATTTTACCTCTATATCCGATGATTTTGATGCAATGATCAGCTGGGAAAAGTCCTTGTCGGCCTTTCTTGAACGCCCAGCACGGGTGATGGTAATTCGCAACCGAAGCCGCTTCTCGCTGCTAAATACAATCTTTTTACGAAAACTTTTCTTTTCCTTACAATTTATTTTCCTTCATGGATCAATACAAATTACTTTCATACTTTACAGTAGACACATAAGAAGAATTTTGCTGATCCAATTTGAAGAAGAGACGGGATTTTTGTTAGATACAGTGACCGCCAAAAAGTTGCGGACAAGCCTCCCTCCTTTTTTCATCGCTCTTTTTCAGAAGGAAAACAAGGATAAAAAAATGTAGTGATTGCATGAGGTGATAGAGCTCTTCAAGATCTACAATATACACTTTGCGTTTTTCGAAAAACATGTACTCTAAATTTAAAAAACTTTTTCTAAAAAAAGTCCGAAAATGCCCGCGTCACAATGTCGCGGACAATAATTCTTCGAACGCAAAAATTTTCATTTGAGTCATATTCTGAAGCTGAAACACAAGTAATCCAAACGGGTGAGCATACTATTATACAGAGCTCGTCAAGAACTACACAATGGTTAAGGTTGCTTCCCAAAAAACACAAGCTTGAGTTTTATTTTGCTTTTTTTTTCAAAAAAAAACTTCTAATTCTCCCTTAAGCCAAGTTTCTTCACATGGAAACCTACTCACGACATTCCAACAACGCTGTTCGGATAAAGCAGATGCTCTTTACCATTCTCCATGCATCTGACGTGTGCTGATGAGTTTCTTTGCTGAAAATGGCTCTTGGCAGTACTTGCACATGACCCCACCTGCACCTCACCACTGACTTGCACCGCTTTGCAGGCTTGTAACTCGGCTTGTAGTCAATATGTGAGCCTGCAATTAGGCTCATTCGAAAGAACGAGACTTCCTCTGCACGGTGGTATGTAAAAGAGATGGGTATAAGAAACAGCGGAGATTTGGCGGATGGGGTGGAAAAACGCGGCCTCAGTGGTGGTTGGAGTGAAGGCATCAACACCAAAACAGTTCTAGAGCTTCAAAATGATCTATTGCAAGAACATTGACAGTTTCAAGCTTCCAGGATTGAACTGGTAGCGAAAGAAGCTCTATTCAACTTTAGCTGGATATCCTCACCCTACCACTGAGGCCGCGTTTTTCCACCCCATCCGCCAAATCTCCGCTGTTTCTTATACCCACCTCTTTTACATACCACCGTGTAGAGAAAGTCTCGTTCTTTCGAATGAGCCTAATTGCAGGCTCACACATTGACTACAAGCCGAGTTACAAGCTTGCAAAGCGGTGCAGTCAGTGGTGAGGTGCAGGTGGGGTCATGTGCAAGCACTGCCAAGAACCATTTTCAGCAAAAAACTCATCAGCAAACGTCAGATGCATGGAGGATGGTAAAGAGCATCTGCTTTATCCAAACAGCGTTGTTGGAATGTCGTGAATAGGTTTCCATGTGAAGAAACTTGGCTTAAAAAGGAGAATTAGAAGTTATTTTTGAAAAAAAAGCAAAATAAAACTCAAGCTTGTGTTTTTTGGAAAGCAACCATAACCAGTGTGTAGCTCTTGACGAGCTCTGTGTAGTAGTGTGCTCACCCGTTTGGATTACTTGTGTTTCAGCTTCAGAATATGACTCAAAAGAAAATTTTTGCGTTCGAAGGATTATTGTCCGCGACATTGTGACGCGGCCATTTTCGGACTTTTTTTAGAAATTTTTTTTTAAATTTTTTAGTATACATGTTTTTCGAAAAACGCAAAGTGTAAATTGTAGATCTTGAAGAGCTCTATCACCTCGTAACAATCACTACATTTTTTTATCCTTGTTTTCCTTCTGAAAAAGAGCGATGAAAAAGAGAGGGAGACTTGTCCGCAACTTTCTGGCGGTCACTGTATCTACCAAAAATTATACTGCAAGACTGATTCGTTACTTGTTCAGACTGCGTGCCTGTGCCAGTGCCGTTCCAGCGTCGTGCCAGTTCAGCGCCGAGATTGGCGGCAAGATCTGGTGCAAATATGGGACGAGGATGGAACGGAGCTGGCACGGCCGCCCTAGCACTCCGCCAACTCTGGACGCAGCTTTAATCACGAAGTGAACCTATCCCGACATCCACCTTCCGGAAAGTGGTGATATGGGTTACATTAGCAATGATGATCGCTCTAGTTCAGCATTATTTCCAGCAAAGAAATCATTAAACTTGCCTTGGATACTTCCAAGGTGCTGTTGAATGGGTCTTCGCAAGCTCTGTTGTTACCATCAAAGGAGCTGCAAACAAAGCAACCAATGCCCACGGCTCCTGTAATGATACGATTGATTTTTTGGTTTAATTTCATGGTCCTGTGATATAAAATTTACATTTCTTATAATTTGTATACGGCAAAATTAGATGCTTTTCTTACTGAAAAAGATATCAAACCTGGAATTGCGACAAGTAGAATGAGGGCGGGGCTAAGGTTTGGCGTGGCCGCACCGCGCGCCATGCGCGTAGAACCAATCGATATTCCCGCTGCTTCGGTGTCGACGCACGGGCGGGACACGAAATTTTGTTGATTGCTCAGCCACGCGGGGGCGTTGGAACTGCTCAAGACGCCCCGTTGCTGGAAATTGAAATTAGGGTGAAATTTACGACCAAGTCACCTCGCAATAAGTGATACGATTCACTATATACAGTCTAGAAAATCCGAAGGCCGATATACTCAGATAATCGCCGGGGGCAAGCGGCCATGCGAATTTTGAGCAAGCGGGCACCGGAAAAATAGTTCGCTGATTTTTTGTGGTCCGCTTGCAGAAATTTGGAATAATTTTGGCCAATTTTTAGACGAACGCTCGAAGATCTATCGCGGTTTTTCTATACATAAGTTGCGGCACAGTGGCCGCATTCTCGCGGATTTTCCGCGAGAACATGCAAAATTATTGAGAGCGGCACGGTCCTTTTTGAAGGACCGCACAGCCCTCAGGTACTTTCCGCTGAGGGAAAGTACCCCAAACTTGGGTAATAAAACCATCGATGGCACCTCTGCCACATAGAGTCTCATCTTTTCTCGGCGTACGCCCGAAACTGCGTAAAAAGAGTCTGAGCGCCTGCTGAAAGTTTGGCCAGCGCTCGCTGAAAGAGATTGTTTGACGAGCGCTTGCAGAAAATTTTGTATTGATGCCCGCTTGCAGAAAACGCAAATACCGCCCGCTGAAGATTTGGCCACGCCCCGAAATCCTGCTGACCGCCTGCAGAAAAGCGCGAGTTTGCGGACCGCCTGCCCCCGGCGATTATCTGAGTAGTGGCTCTGCGGTACCGACATCACTTGCGCGCTCGAGATGGCTACGGGCTGTGAAAATGCGTCCTGTGGACACTTTTACGCGCAAATGTTGTTCATCAAGTAGGGACATCACAACGACCATTGATATATGGATGAAACAGGAGATCCACAAAGGAAAACGAGGACCAGTATGTATATAAAGAATTGCATGAACTCCATGCTTTCTTTGGAAATATTATGTTAGCTACGAAAAGAAAGACTTCATTTATAAAAAATAAAAGATTCAACGAAGATTACACAGAGCTAATCGATAAGAAATCCGGAGCTCCTTTGTCGAAGCAATCACTTCTTGCATCGACTAGTCGATGAACTTACATGTCGTTGCGAATGCTAAAACGATGTCTAAGCGTCAAGCTTTTCAGGCAAAATCCAGGCTGAAAATTTGTAGGTTTCTTGCGCAGAAAGGTTGTAATCATGCAGCAGACAATGACATGAAGTAATGAGCCTCGTTATAGAGAATGGGGGGAGATTGACGCATCGCATTACAAATAGAAAGTCAAAAAGCACGGAGATCATTCAAGTCTGAAACCTCTCCAGAAAAAAAGGACTTTCATTGGACATTATCGACTCAAGGCAAGGCTACAAAGTTTTTCTGAATGATTATCCAAATTTAGCAGCAAATTCTTATGAAAAAGATTAGACATGGAATAGATTCGGTCATTGTTATTACCAAATCTATTTCATGTCTATGAAAATGTTGCAAACAGATTTTCGTCGAATGGTAGTTTCAATCAATTTTCAACTCTAGAAAACAATTCAATTCTGAACGGGAACTGGTGCCTCAAGAAAATCTGTCATTGTGAACAGTGGCAATACGTTTAGCGATGAACTTCTCAGAAAAATTCGCTTTCAAATTCACTTAATCGTTTGAATTAAAAAAATTTGATATTGCATTGAGAAAAAAGCTATAGTTGATAATCAGGTTTTCGAAGAAATTTCCTATCAAAGCAAAGCATCTTTTTGCCAATCTGATAAGTAGAAGTTGATGGAAAAGGTGGGTTTTTCTGACGCTCCTTCAGGATATTTTTATCAGTTTCATATATTGAACATTTAGGCAGCAAGGCTTTTGCTTTGTCCTTCGAATCATATTCATCTCTCGGAGGACAGGAAAGGCTCAGTGGCGTACCCAGGATTTTCGTTCAGGGAAGTGGGGGGGGGGTTTCTAATGAAGGTGCGTAGAGTTAGCCACCCACTCCGAAAATTTTTCTGGTATGCTTCCTGAAATTCTCCCATAACCCCGACAATTCAGAAGAAGGGGGCGTGCCGTCAGCCACGCTCCGGAAAAAATTTTTTCCGAGGCTAAAATGAATTTTTCAAAAATTTCGAAAATTATTTCAGGTTACTTGCACATTTTTATAAATCATGTAAGTAATTTTCGAGAATTTCGCGACCCATACTGGAGGGGGGGGGAGGCTTGCTACGCCACTGGCATGCCTGTGTCATGTTTGCCAGAGGGTTTCTCTTTGCATCTGGACTACCAGCACGATAAAATAAATCAAAAAGGAAAGTTTACTAAAAATTTGAAATGATCAACTACTTGGCTGGCTGAAACTGCTAATGCTAAGATGAAAGGAGCAAGGTACAACTTGGCTTCAGCAATGAAAGAATGAGGATAGAAGAACAAAAGAACTTTAAGCACGTGTTTTAATGAGCTCAAAGTTCCGTTGTCCCTACGTACGTAAGAAATTGCCATTACCCGTGTATGACGAGGAAAGACAAACAGCTCAGCGTGACGCTCATATGCTATTGCATCAAGCTGTTCCCGAAATAAAGCTCCAATGACGGAGGTAGACAAAGAACGAAGGGAACCTTGCTCGCAATTGAAGGCTTGCATGAAAGCAAGTGCAACATGCGTTATTTGAGACATATGTTAAAGAACAGAGCAATTGAGAAAAGAAAACAACCCTGTGATAGCAAATTTCAGTGCGAGATCAAGAATCATCCTTCGGTGAGATATTTCAAAATAAACAGTTCTCAAAAAGCTGAGACATTACTCTAGGACGAAGTAATTTCGTGCTGAATAAGGGGATCAGATAGAGAGCCAAATTCTACTTTCTCAAATTCTACTTTTAAGCAAAAAAGAAAGATGAGCTCTATCTGCATTTTTTGAGAAGAAACACTCGAAATGGAAATTTTCTTTCTCTGCAAGTCTCTTTTTAGATCAGAAAACTCAAAATTTTCAATGTTGAGGTCATAGCACTTCGTCCCGTCCGAAGCAAGCTGTTTCTACTTCCTAATAATCAAAACGTTTCTTCAAAGTCTAGTTACATGAATTTATTCGGGAGTAGCTGCTCTCGCAATTTTAGGCCCGCGAAAATTTTGGAAAGCATCCGCCTGTTGAGGGGGGAGCGGCGAGGGCGAAGCAAGGCAAGAAGCGCGTGGCTGGCAAAAATTTTGTCGCGTCCCAAAAATCCTGAGGTCAAGAATGGGTAAAATGCCCTAGAATGGGGAATTCTTTTCGGTACACATGATCAATAGATTTACGTCATTAAAGGCAGCATTTATGCAAAAGTAGTAGGTAATTTAAATGAGAAATACATAACTGACCACGTTCCAAATTTAGAATGAGTGAATGCCTAATTGATCCTTTCCATCTTGAGAACTTCCATCTTCCCTCCACCCCACTCTATCCGCTTCAGACTTTTATGCACAAGCAGATTTCCACTTTTGCTCTTGCATGCCTAAACCGTCACCAAGGTGAGCCAGTGAGTCTTTGCATAAGTTGGGACGTTTGAGGCTTTCCAGCTCTTGGAAGTCCACATCAAACATGCGAAATTTCGGGTCTGGGCTAAGCCCTCTTTTTTGCCTTTTTACTCTTACTCTTCTGAAATATTAGGAGAAACTTCAGCAAAACGTAGGGTTCGAGATTGTTCATTGTGTCTCATAAACATCTAGAACCACACGCAGAGACTGAAGAACAACAGTCAAATTACGAACCCATGTTGACTGCAGAAAAGTAATTGAAATATTGTGAGCAATCTATCTATACAAGTCATGACAACAATGTTATAAGGAAAATCTGGCGATTTCAGAAAATCAACAAGCTTGAGATGATCACTGAGAGAAAAGGGCCATACGTTTCTTATTAAATATTGAATATTACTGCTTTATAACCTAGTACTACATTTGAAATCAAATGAAACTCGCAAGTGCAACATAGTTGAGCGCTCAAAAATTCGCAAAAGCAAAGCAAGTAATTGAGTAAGACTGACATGAAACAAAAAGCGATACGAAATCATGAGAAAGAGTTTTTTCGCAGTGATTCAGGCAAAAATATGTATTTAATCAGGCTTAGAAGAAAATGAGTTGTCGACGTACGGATTTTCTCAAGATAGGAATAACGTAAGCACTGAAGCCTTCACAAATGAAGTACGGTGTTAAAGTACTCACGGGCATCTATATGTCGACAATATGTTTTACTTGATCAGGACATGACTGCTGTGAGTCCATCGTTATATTGACTACTAGCTGGCTTACCCGGCTCCGCCGTATCCGGACCAAACTTGGCACACATACACTTCGGGCCCCGGCGGGTGTCACAGTCCACTTTTCGTTATCGATCGATGTCGATTTTACCGATTTTTATCGATTTTTTGCAGAGTTCACCTACAGAGCTAGGAGTTGGCACAGGGGGGGGGGGGAAGTGAGCATGGGGATTCCGAATACAATATTAGTTTTCAGAATTATCGATTACTTTTATTGATTTTATCGATTTTTTGTAAATTTTGACATGCGAGGCTGGGATTTTGCACAGGGGGGTAATCGAGCATGCTGATTACGAACACAATATTAGTTTTCAGGATCGTCCATTACTTTTATCGATTTTATCGATTTTTTTGTAAAGTTTGACCTGCGGGGCTGGGAGTTTGCACAGGGGGTAATCGAGCATGCAGATTACGAATACAATATTAGTTTTCAAGATCGTCCATTACTTTTATCGATTTTATCGATTTTTTGAAAATTTGAGCTAGGGGGCTGGAATTTGGCACAGGGGTGTAATCGAGCATGCTGATCACCCCCCTTGGGGATGATCAGCATGCTCGATTACCCCTCTGTGCCAACTCCCAGCCCCCTAGCTCAAACTTTGCAAAAAAATCGATAAAATCTATAAAAGTAATCGATAATCCCGAAAACCAATATTGTATTCGGAATCCCCATGCTCGATTACCCCCCTGTGCGAACTCCCAGCCCCGTAGCTCAAACTTTGCAAAAAAATCGATAAAATCGATAAAAGTAATGGACGATCCTGAAAACCAATATTGTATTCGGAATCCCCATGCTCGAT